ATTAATTTGCTCCTTTCTCTTCCAAAAGTTCAACATTTTATTTTATTTATTTTATTATTTTTGTAATGTCACATTATACTAAGGTTGATAACACTATAAATTATAAATACTCTAAATTTATATTTATTTATATCAATATTATTACATTAAATTGAACTTCAATAGCAAAAAAGTCATTAGATACAAAATATATATATAAAATAAAATAAGATAAAATACTACAAATTACTATTTAAATACTTTCTCCGTCCCGAAATTAAGTATCCATTTGCTTTTTGTATGTAGTTTTAGAAATATTAGTATTATATTGAGATATAGTAGGAATAAAGTAGAAATGACTAAAATAACCTTATTAGTATGTGTGATATAAAAGTAATGATATTTGTGTAATATATTGTAAGTTGTAAGGGTATTTGTAATGTTAGGTAGAAAGTACATTTACTAAAAAAAAAAGGAAATAAATACTTTGTTATAGGACGGATTAAAATGGAAAAATGAATACTTTGTTATGAAACGAAGGAAGTACAATTTTTCCGTCCGCTAAAATTATGTAATTATTCCTTTTTGTGTCATCTGTTTATAATAAAAAAAAACTTTATCCATCTATAATTTTATTATTCTTACTTTAATAAAAATAATTAATTTGCCACTATTTTTTTTTATTCTTTTAATAATTCTTTTTATAATATATCCACTTTGCTTTCTTAGCCTTTAACATTAAAATATTACTCCTTTCATTCCAAACATTCTACAATTATTATTTTTTTTAATTTGTCACAAACTCAACGTGACATTTTCGAATTTAAAAATAATTAATTATATATATAAATATATTTTATTCTATTCTATTAAATCACTCAAATAATAAATAAATAAATATATATTTCTCTCTTCAACACATGATTTAATCTACAAATTATCTCAAATTACCTTATCTACTATCATTCATTTAAATTCTGATGCTGAACTCAAATGTTGCACACTGTTTAAAACTGAGAGTATTATATTTTTAGTCTATGTGCCCAACCAAATTTATATAATTATATAATTAATTTTACCATGCAGATAAAGTATTCTTTTTTAGTCTCTATACCAGAAGTAAAAATTTTCTTGTAGTATACTTTGAATTTTTTACCCCCAATTTTTTATTAAGAAATTCCCATTATTCATATATATATATATAATATTCTCTTATAAAATAGTACTCCCTCCATCCTACATAATTTATTCATATTTTTTATTTTTGTCTGTTTTGTTTCATTTTTTGGAAAATTGATTATATATTTTAATCATTTTTTAAAATTTGAATTTTAAATTTTTTTAATCTTAATTAAACTATTTAGTTATCTAAATGTTAAAACATATAATTATTTTTACTACATAATAATTATTTTTACTAATATACTTCTTAATTACTTACTAATTATATTTTACCTAAATTCTAGTATCTACTGTATCGAATCCATATTATCTAGGAGGGAGTATACACTACAAGAAAAAATCATTTTTGTAACAAAATATTTTTGTCTCTAAATCTACTTTTTCCGTTACTAATGACATTAGAGACGGAATTAGGAATGGAATTACGTTAGCTACGTGAACTTTAGGGACGGAATTCCGTTACAAATATATTACTTTTTTGTAGTGATATGTAAGTACTATTTAAATAAAAAATAAATAAAAGTTTAAATACAAAATCAAAGTAAATAAACCTTGGATTAGGGTTTACATGAGTGTGTATATTTTTGTATTTTTTAATAACTACATTTTTTTTATATTTGGTAAGATAAATTGTATTAGTAATATAAAAGTAATATTTTATATTAAATTATTAATTTTTATGAGTGAATAATATATATATATATTATATTTTAATCGAAATAAACCCCCTATATATATATTTATACATAGTTTAAGGGTTAAGCTTATCATCAATTCATGTATATTTGGTCAGACAACCTTTATTTTGACACCACATCATTGCATTTTAAATAGCCAAAAATAATATTGGGTTTGTGTCTTTTGTTTATTTCCTTTAATTTGATGCATTGTGCAAATCTGATCTGTCTCTATGTTTTTTTTTGCATGTATAAATATCGAATCATTCTCATCATTTGGGCACTTCAAACTAAACCCTTTCATTTTCATTATCTTAATTTCTTACAAATTTGATCAAAATAATTTTTTTTTGGCTACTAAGTGATGGGAATTTTTAGGGTTTTGTTTCTTGGTGCGATGATCGTTTTATCGTTGTGTGGGGCAAGCTTAGAGGCGCGCAGTCTGTTCTTGTCCGGGCAAGGACAAGATGACGGCTATCGCACACGTTTGGTTTTGGAGGGATCGAGGATTAGATACTATCGGGGAAGAGGATTGTCGGGAGTGTATGGTGGAACCACAAGAGCGGCGCCCGGGGGGCCAGATGGTCAACACCATTCTAGATCGCCGGCATTGTCGTAAATTTGTGGATTGATGTTTTTGATGTTTTTGGATGTTTATGTGGGATTTTATGTCAAGAGACGTTGATCTGTGATTCTTGTTTTTTGGTATAATTATTTATAATTCACTTGTGATTTGAAAATTCTGCATTGTTTATTTCATAATTTAGACACTGTAATTTATCCTCGTATTTTAAAAAATATTCTAAAGAATATTTTAAACTTATAATAAAAGATTGGTGAAGGCTATTGTTGTGCAATTACAACAATTTGAAAGATTCGCTATAATATTTTAAAAAATGCTAGGGGTGATTGCATAATTTCTAAATTACGAAGGTAATTGAAGCAACTTTTTTAGACTTAAAGATAAATTATAAGTAATTTTGTCTCTCTCTTTTTTTTTTTTTTTAATATCTTATGGGTTTACTTATATTTATTTGTCCAATATTGTGATGGATTCTTAAGAAAATTAATCAAACAACAAATACAATTTTTACAAAGAAACAGTAAACAAAAGTTACCTTATGATCTAATACCTATTTTTCACTAAAAACATTAATTTTTAACATTTGGTTGTTTACTCAATATTTCTTAATAGAACAATTTCTCATAAATATTACTTTTTTTTTGTCACAACTAAATTGTCTAATTTAGATTAAACACATGTGTAATTAGTAAGTAATAAAGAAGTGTAGGATAAATTATGTGGAATGGAAAAAATAGAAATAGTAGACAAATTAAGTGGGACAATGAGAGTATTTAAAAATACAAATATACGTACACCTTAATATAATATATACATTATCCATTTATAAAAAATTAATAATTCAACATAAAATATTATTTTTTTATATTACTAACACATATTTCTATACTACATATAAAAAATTAATTTATCCAAAACACTAAGTGAACTTGCTGATTATCTCAAAAAATTAATTTATCCAAAATACTGAGTGAACTTGCTGATTATTTCTGGACTATTTATTAAAATTATCTTTAAAAATATTACATACAACATATATATATATATATATTGTATTTAACACTTAGCCATGCCAATTACAAATAAAAATATAATGGACCTTATCTTAATATGTTACAGAAGAAATGTGTGTTTTCATGGAAATATTATCATAAACGCTTATTTTTACTAACAATTGCTCTTTTTTCTCATTAATTATAATTAAAATAAATTAAATAATTAAATAATTATTGTCCCAATCTTATAATTCCTCCATCCAACTTGTTCAGTATTTTTGGTACGGCTAAATAATTTGTCTTTTTTAAACTTTATTTAAATTTTGAAATTTTAATATTAATTAAAATATTTAATTATCTTAATAATAATTTATAATTATTTATACTATAAAATAATTATTTTTACTAATATATTTTTAATTATTTATTTTTGTATTTACGTATACAAGATATTTGGTGTGAGATGAGAAAAGTACTATATATAATTTGGCCTGGGAAGTTTTCTCTCATTTTTTTTTCAATAAAAATGTCACCTATATTATTTTATCATTTTTCTATACTTATTTATCCTTTAAATAAGTTTAGAAAAAATATATTAAATTTTTTTATGGCCTGCCTGTGTTTTTTTAATGTTTAGAAAATTTTAGAATATTTGTAATTTTTTAGTCTCATTTAAGCTGTCTAGTTTCATGTAGATACTGAAGTGTAATTACTAAATAATCAAAAAATATATTGGTAAAAATAATTATGATATAATATAAATAATTATAACTTAAAATTAAATAAATATTTAATCTAATTAAGATTAAAAAATTACTCCTATAAATTATGATATTTAAAATTTGATTAAAGTTTATAATTATTATCTTTTTATATATATATATATATATATATAAAAGACAAATTATGTTAAACTAAAGAAATAAAATTAGTAAAAAATAAAATCAATATAAAATTAGTAAATGAAAAAGTACTATAAAATAACACTCCCTTCGTCCCATAACTAAGTATCCATTTACTTTTTGCATATTGATCTTTGGATATTAATTATTATATCAAAACGTATTACAAATCAAGGAAAAATTGCAAAAATATTTCTATTACTATCTTATAATACTAATATAATGACATTTGTATACAAAATTATAGAAATATAAGGATATTTTTAACGTTAAGTACAATGACACAAAAAGGTAAATGAATACCTTGTTATGGGACGGAGGGAGTATATATCATCTAATAGTAATACGGGTCGATGCCTAATTTACATATAACATATCAATTAAATTCTCTATGGTTATTTTTTCTTTACTTTTTAAAAATTTTTAATAAAACATAAAATAGCTTACCAAAAAATTATTCCAAATTAGGTTATTTGAAGTTTTATATTCTTTTTCGTTTTAAACATAGTTCAATATTTGTTCAATACTATAATTTGATAATTAAATGATATGATAAAAAGAAAAAGTATATATATATATACATTTTTTTTTGAATGATACGATGATGATAAAATAGTGTATGTTTATTGAATAAAAAGTATAATTAATTATTTTTTATTTTAAAAATATTACAGTAGAACATACTAAAAGAAAATATTCATTGGATCATGGATCTGATCGTATTCAATTGTTGCGAACAAATGCAACTCCCTTTTCGATCGAAGCTTTCAGTTCAGGCTTCAGGGCTTCAAGCCGTCGTTGCTCGTAATCGGATAGAGGACCCAACCCGAGGACTTCCTCTACGCCTTTCTTGCCGAGCCTCACCTGTTTAACAAAACTCGACTTTGTTCATATGCTAAAACTAGCGGAATCGTAAAAAATATCACGTCAAATACTAATTTTTCATTTAAAATGTTACGTCAAAAGGATATATATATATATAGATATTTTGTAAAATTGCTCATAATTTTTCTGTGATTTTGAAATTCTACGTAAATTCATCTTATATTTTAAAAATTGTATGGCATTTCCCTAAATTTTCAAAAACGTTACATAAAACCCCACCCTCGTGAAACCTCCGTTGTGTGATGAAAATATGATTTCTTATCTATATTTTTTGCATGGCAGGAGGTTTCATGCAATATTTTTTAAAATTTAAGGGGGTCATGCAAATTTGTTGAAGTAAAATGGAGATTTACACTAAGTTTTGAAATATATAGGAGTTTCATGCAACGTTTTTAAAAGTATAAGGGCTTCCATGCAATTTTGTTGAAGTAACGTGGAGATTTACACTAAGTTTCGAAATCACAGGAGTTTCATGCAACGTTTTTTAAAGTATAAAGAGGTTTCATGCAATTTTCAATGTAAAATGAGAATTTACACTGAGTTTCGAAACCATAAAGATTTATGGGCAATTTTGCTTAGATATTTTGAGAAATTTTAACATATTCATCAATAATAACTTATTTAAGCATATCAAGTCTAACACTAATCTTTCTAACCTATGTACAATATTCAAGTTTCATTAGGCATTCTTAGTTAAATCTAAATGGAATATTTAAGTTTCCACTCACTTTTGATGCAAAGAAAGGTAGCTCGGTCACAGAGGACTGCACGAACGAACATTCCACGACATCCTCGACCCCGTTAAGTCCCTTCAAGCAAGAATCAGCGAATATCGCGCCAGCATAGCTACAGGCATATAAAGTTAATGTCAAGATAAAATCGACTTCTCAAATTCGCCAACAATTGAGCAATGTGCAAACTCGGAACTCTAATGAGCAAAATAGAAATTGAATTAAGTGCGCTTACGCCATTGAGAGCGTAGCCGAACCCTTTCCAGCCTTGGCTTCAACGACTTCAGTTCCTCCTTCTTGAGTTCTTTTTGTAAGAGCTTCGATCTTTTCATCCCCAAGATTTGCTTTAGGTGTGGCCTATTGATCAAACAGGTCCATTTTATTATCTTTCTCAAACAAAATGTGGTGCAATAAGAAACACAGAAGTCAGTACTTGCGAAAACAACGGAAGAATCGTAATTCCAGCATGACCACCAACAACGGGAACATTGACATCTGCCGAACAGAACCCAATCAAATTTCAATTATGCATCAACAAGAATCATTGCCACAAATCGACAATATAGACATACCAGCAACTTTAAGATTCGCCTTTCCGGCATAGAATGTTTTAGCCCTGACCACATCAAGGGTGGTAACACCGAACAGTTTCTTTTCGTCATATACTCCTTTGCTGTTGAAAACTTCGGCAGCGATTGGAACAGTTGAATTTACGGGGTTGCTAATTATATTTACAAGAGCCTGAAATTTATCGAGAGTTCAATTAAAATCTTTCTTACTAGAATCAAATATGTAGCTAAAGAATAACAGAGGTTTTCAAGAAGCAGAATTATTACATTGGGACAATACATGGCAATGCCCTCGCAAAGTGATTTAACAATTCCGGCATTAATTTTGAAGAGATCGTCGCGGGTCATGCCTGGCTTTCGAGGTATACCGGCAGGTATTATAACTAGATCGGAACCTTCCAGAGCTTTCCCTAGATAGTCTTCTGATGCATACCCTTTCACCTGTAAGTATAAGCCATCAATAAAGATATTCTGCTCGGAACATATAATCGAAATAATGCAACAATGTGGACGATTATTGCAACAAAGTGGATGATCGAAACATATGATAGAAATAATGCAAACAAGATGATGAATGATGATCGAAACATATAATCAAAATGGAAACACATGCGTCATCAAAAAAAAGAAAAAAAAAATGGAAACACATGCTCAAAATAATGCACCCAAGCGGATGATCGAAACATATAATCGAAATCGAAAAATAACTGAACAATAAGAACTATACTAAAATTGATAAAAACTAATTTGAAGAAGCAGATAATAACTAAACGGAATTTAAACATTCATCTCAAATCAGCATAACTTAATGCAGACGATCTCCCAATTTCTTCGTCAGAAGCAAAATGGAAAACAGAGGTTTACGAATTCACATCTTATTTCTGGTGATAGATCGAAAATTTGCTTGAACTCGATTGGACAGTGAATTGATTAATAACGATGACGATAGACAATGTGGAAACCCTAGAACTTGAATCAACCTAAATAATTGGACGTGAAGTGCAAAATCCTCATCGAGCACCGAAATGAAACAGCCAACAATCCATCGTAAACCGAAATTCCTTGCGACAAATAGATTGATGAAAAGCGTGGAACCTCGGATCTGGTATTGACATGGCTAACGTCGGCGGCGACGCCGGGGGTGCCGGCGATATCGTAAAGCGCGAGACTCGATACGAGAGGATTCAGCTTGAGTAGAAGAGAGAGCGGCTGGCCGATACCTCCTGCAGCTCCCAAAATGGCGACCTTCCGCGCGGGCGCGGCCTCCGACGAGAACCTCCGCCGCGGAATAAGGGATGCGGAAGCGCCGCCGCCTCTCCTGAGCACCGATCTCAAAAACGCGGCCTTCATCGGTCGGAAATTTTTATGAATGAAATTAATACGGAAACGAAATGGCAAATGGCAAATGGCAAATGGCAATGATGAATGATGATGTATGTTCACTGGTGATTATTTATTAATAAATAATAATTAATAAAATGTTAATATTAATAAAAGATTTCTATATTTTTAATTAAAAAATTTTATTTATACTATTATAAACAATTGGACAATCATTTGTATATTTTATCGATAATGATTAATTATAAACACGAGATATAATTACTAATATGGAGTAAATTAATTCTATAGTCTATTAATATCTTATTGTATACTTATGCACTGATAATTTATTAATATATATATTGTTTAATATTAATTTTTTTGATATATAACATTTTTTTATATATATTTGCTAAATTTTTTTGTCGAATTAAATTCTCAAAAATTCAAATTTAATAATTGTTATAAAAATAATTTATTTAATTTATTTTTCAAAATTTCTTAATTTTTTTATTTAATATAAAATAAATAATGATAATTATATTACGATTTATTCAAAGACAAAACCAAAATAAACCAAAAAATTAAATGAAATGAATATAAATATATACTGATGATTTTTTTTTTTAAAAAAAGAAAATTTTACAAATTATATTCAAAGTAAAATGTTACTTAATTTCTTGAAAGTGCAAGTGATATATTTTATATTTTTTTTTAAAAGACAAATAATAATAATATTCAACCCTTATTTATGTTTAGACATGTCAAATGAAATAAGAAATTAGAAGCTTCAAACCGAAATTGAACGTTTTGAATTACTGTTTTGATTTTGGTTATAGTTTCGAAACCAACGATTTCGGTTTTAAAAAAGTTAGTTTCGAATTGAATCGTCTTTTATATTTTCTAATTTTTCTAAATTTTAATTTTATTAAAAAAAACAATAAATTCAATTTTGTTTTTATTTAAATATGTATATTGTTTATTTATTGTGTAAAAATTATATAAAAAATATTAATTAATTATATTGTTACGGTATAAAAAATAATTAAAATAACAAATCTAATAAGTAGTTAAAATAAATACCAATTATAAAAAATATTAATATATTAGATAATAATATATAATTTAAATTATATATAATTATATAATAAAAATTTATAAAATTTAAAATATGTATCATTACTAAATATTTATTTTTATTAAAATTAATATTATTTTAATTTTATAAATAATTGATATTATAAGAATATTTTTGCCCTAATTCATTATACATTCAAAGCCTGTAGCCGCCCACGCTAGGTTCTTCTTCCTCTAGGTTAATAAATATATTTTTTTAAATAAATAATCTACCAGTTTGAACCGAAAACGGCCGGTCCAGCAGGAATCGGAACCGTTATCGACCGAAACCAAATCTGTTTTGGTCGATAACGGTTTCGGTTTGAAACCGACGAACCGAATACTCTCTGTTTTCGGATTCATTACCGAAAAGACAAATTAAGTTATATTCTATCTCAAAAACATTTTATGTTACCAATTTACTAACTTAGAAAAATCTTCTTTAAAAATTTGAATTCGGATGGCTGAAGCCCAACTTTACTTCAATGAAAGGAAAAATATTTAGGAAAACCGTTAAAAATAATATTGTTTTTTATGCACTCAGAGTCTTACAAGGTTCTATTGACTAAGCATCTTGCTTCCACTCACTAATCAATTTCAGTTTTGATAAAGAGAGGAGTCTTGCTATAAAAGATCTCATAAATAAATATAAATAGATTTGTTGGATTGCTTCGGAGTTTTATTCATAATTAATTTGATTTATCATGGCATCCAAACTTTTTTTTTTTCAAAATGTATAATTTTATTTGTTCTTGCACAGAGTATTCGTATAAAAAATTGAAGAAAGAATAACAAAAATATTTAACGACAACAAATTTTATTCATAACCATAGGAAAACGATACATTGTCAAAAAAATAAGAATAATAGAAAAGAAACTAGGAACTCTTCCAACAAATCTTTATGAACATTATCGCGATTGGCAGAAACTTTAAGAGTAATACTGATGGAATCAGAAAGAACAATAACAGGATTTTTTTTTCTTCTTTTCGACAACCTCTAAAAATGAATCATATGCATTCATCAGTAACTCTTCTTCCAGAAGAATTTGGCTCACATATTGCTTCCCTCAGTATGAAATAAACTGCTTCAATAGCTCTAAAACATCTTTTTCTAAATCAACATGTTGAATCCTCAAACGTTCGTACATGATTTCTAAACTCTTAATGTAAACTTTTTGGAATTGAACTTCCCATGAAAATTCAGTTTTGCATGTCTTAATCTTTGTCTTTGAATGAAAGTCTGCCATAAATTCTTTTTGAATCTTCTTGCAAATTGTCACTTCATATTGTTTCATGAATTTCTTCAGTGTGTATCTTGTGTGGATATAATCATCAAAATATGCGTGCATTTCTCACTTCTTTGTGTTAAAAATCATACCAATCCAGACATGTGATTCAAATAAACTGGAACCACTTTTCCTTCTCAGCGTATAAATCTTGAAGTCATACTTTGTTTTTCAATCCATATTTGGCTAAAAAGTCAGCCCAATTTCTTTCAAAATTAGGAACTGCAATACTATCATATACGCGATTCATTTGAATTCGACAATCGTCTTATTATACTCTTGAATACCCTTAAACTTGAAAGGAAATTTCGACATTATATGCCACAAACAATATCGATGTATAGTGTCTGGCAACACCTCATTTCCTGCTATTTTAATGTTTTCACATTGATCAGTCAATATGTCTTTAGGTCGCACTCATTCATTGCTTGAACCCAGTTTTCAAAAAGTCATTTAATTGAAGTCGAGTCTTCGCGTATCACCAAAGCACACCCTAGCAATATAGACTGACCATGATGATTAATCCCAACAAAAGCTCCAAACAATATTTCATATTTATTAAAAAAATATGTTGTATCAAAGCTCACTTTATCATTGAAGCAAAATAAAATTAAGAATATATAATAATAATAATAATTCTTATGGTAAGTGACGTTTACTGACATACATTATTAACACTAATAAAACTGAAAAAATTAATTATTAATTGCTATTAAAAAATAAAATACATTATTTAGAAAGAGAAGATTATTGATCAATATATAACTATATAATGTTCTATACATATAAGAAATAAAATGATCAAAATGGTTTGAATGAATGGACTAAATTTTAAAATAAAATAAAACTTGTGTTTAGTTATGTTTTGAGAAAAAATTTATGATATTTTTTATTTTTATGTTCTTATTTATCTTTAAAAAAAGAAAAAGAAATATCAATAAATTTACTAACCAACTCAACAACAAATTTGCGATTTAGGTCAACAAGAGCTTGCGCTTGAATATCTTCATTCACGATGTCATCGCTTGAAAATCTTCGTATAGATCATTTTCTTCTAAATCCATACCAAATACATCGTATATAATATTTTTTATATTAATATCCGTATTGATATGTTAAAAATGAAAAAGAGAGTGTTAATTTAAATAGAAGAAATAAAACTATAAAATTAATTGTTAATTGCTATTAAAAAAGATAAAATACATAAAAAAGATATAACTGTTATATTTAATGAGAAAATATTTTTTATATTTTTAGTAAAAAATAAAATTTATTAGCATAAAAAGTAAAAATATAATTGTCACATTTAATAAATAGAGGTACAATAGTGTTTTACTATATTAATACATAATTAGGAAATATTCAACTTGAGAGTGTTATACAAAATAAAAATATGAAATATCTTAAATAATCTTTTTAATAAAATAAATAAATAAAAATTTGATCAATCTTTCATTTTATACTTGTAAAAATTAGGACATACTTTTGTTCTTTGTATATTTTTATTTTTATCTTATTTCAAACAAGTCAATAAAAATGACAAAATAATTCGTCCGAACTTTAAAAAAAAATAATTGAAACTTTATAACCAAAATATATTGGAATAATTTAATATATAAATATACACCTGCACTTACACTTAATATATCAAATATACCCCTATATTGTATTCTCTAACACACCTTGAATTTTCAAATCACACTTAATATATCAAATCTTGAAACTTGATAATCACAGTAAAAAGTTTGATCCAAATACATGGAAAAAAAATGACATATTACTTGTGTCCATCACACGTCAACTTAGTTTAAGTAGGGGTGTCAATTCGTATTCTTGGGTCATGTTCGTGCCGGATTGAGCTATGAGAATAACAAAAAAATTGTCAATCCGAACCTGAAATCTGACCTGAAACCCTAGATCCGAACACGACACGAATTTTTTCAGGTCAGGTTCAGGTTGACCTGAATTAGTTTCAAGTCACCCGAAACCCGAACAAACCCGATACGAATCCGACATGAAACAGACCCGAAAATTTTTTTAAAAAAAATTAAATTGACCTAAAAAATATCATTTTTATTTTAATTTTTATATTATTTTATATTTAAAATAATATAAATATTATAAATTAAAATAATAATAATAAAAATTTCAGGTCAACCTAAAACACGAAACCCAAAACCTAACCTGATTTTTATATTTTAGGTTATCAGGTCAACTCGAAACACGACCCGAACACGACACGAATTTTTTTTCGTTTCAGGTTCGGGTCGACCCGATTTTTTTCAAACCCGAAATACCCAAATCCGAACTTGAAAAATTTCAGGTCGAACGGGTTCGATTTTTCGGATCGATTTTACTTATGACATCCCTAAATTAAAGACACATCAAGTTTGCATTAAGCAACAAAACTACGGCTTGCCAACTATATCTTTCGTCATTGAAATAGTCCTTGGCTTATAAGAGAATCTTACATTTCTAAGCATTGTATTGAATGGCGTGTCATTTCCAATCCTAAGATTGCTCTGTAATCGTATCATGTCAGTTGGGGGCCTAGATGCACTGTCTGTCTTCTTTAAGTTTAAAACTTTGGTTTTTTGCTTGAGAATTAATTTCCTTAAGTATGC